AAAAGAAAAGAAAAAGAAAAAATTCATGGGACTTATTTTTCTCTCCTGTCACTTAAGTTTGGGTACAATTCTCTATTTCCCTGAAGTACTTCCTGTCTGGACTTGTCTAGAGGAAAATGCGGGTCCAGAGGGAGGGACAGCATTGGTTTTTCAGATTTTGTCCCAAAATTCTTCCTAACTGCATTCCAAATTGTACAAGTTAGTGACAAGAAAGTGACACAGTGGGTGGGTAGACAGAGACACAAACAGGTGGGGGGGATGATGCATGAATGGAAGGTGGGGATTGATGGGTAGATGGGGCCAGGCAGTGGTGGCGCACGCCTTTAATCCCAGCACTTGGGAGGCACAGGCAGGTGGATCTCTGTGAGTTCAAGGCCAGCCTGGTCTACAGAGTGAGTTCCAGGAAAAGTGCAAAGGTACACAGAGAAAGCCTGTCTCGAAAAACAAACAAACAAATGATGGATAGATGGATAGACAGGTAGATGGATGAATGAATGGATGAGTAGATGAGTGAATGATTGACAGATGGAGGTTTAGGTTGGTGAAAAATCAACTTGTAGTTCCCTGGGTTTCTGAGGTTTCTGGAGAGCAGTGCAGAGCATACCCTCCTGTCAGGCCAGGACGCTCACCCATGCCCCGGAGCTCCACAGCAGGGCGGCACAGCTGGAGGGCTTCTCTGATCAGATCGACCTCAGGAGAGTCCATGTGAGGGGCACACATGTCAAAGTCATCCAGCAGGTCCTCAATGCCCCCAGAGATGCTCCGGCAGGAGATCCAGCTCATGTTCCCTGTGGAGGACAAGGAGTGAGGAATGCCCTTGCTTACTGCTGGCTCATTCTGAGGGTACAAGAATGGCCACCCTTTCTCCCTGGGGTTCTTGAACTCTGGAGTTCTGGCACTGAGGCTGATGGTTTCTGTGGTGGGCACTGAGCTGTGATTAATAGAACATGACCTGGCATCCACCCCAGATGCTGCCAACACCTCAGAAATGTTTCCAGGATTTGCCAAGTGTCTCCTGGAGGAAGAATGTCCTTTGAAAATCACAGGTATGAGTGTGGGTGGGGAAATAAGTGGATGAAATAGATATGCAGACAACCATCCATCCACCCATCCATCCACTCGTCCATCCTTCCATCCGTCTGTCCATCCATCCATTCATCCATCTGTCTATCCACCAGTCCATTCATTCTTCTACTCGTCTACCCATTCATGCACTCATCTACCTACCAACCAACTCATCCATCCATCTATTCATTAATATATACATACACCCATCTATCATTCTATTAATCCATTTATCGATCCACCCATCTATCCATATACCTGTCTATCTGTCCATCCATCTATATCTATATCCACCCATCTATATATCAATTTATCTATCCATTCATTTATCTGCCACACCTTTATTGGCTTAACTCTGTAGTTTTCCCTTCAGTGCCAACTTCCATTCACCCATCCTTACACACCTCTATCTCTCATTCATTCATCCAGCTTTCTGCCCATTCATCTATTCATCCATCTGTCCACCTTCTCAAAGGAAGAATGTCCTTTGAGAATCACAGTATGCTGTGGGATGTTCTGTACGTTAAATGTGTTGGTTGGTTAATAAATAAAACACTGATTGGTCAGTAGCCAGGCAGGAAGTATAGGCAGGACAAGGAGAGAGGAGAATTCTGGGAAGTGGAAGGTTGAGTCAGAGAGATGCTGCCAGCCACCACAATGAGAAGCAGA